ATATTGCCACACCATGGTTCAGTACATCCCAATGATAGAGTCAGAAGGCACGCTATCACTATTTTGAAATCTTGAAGCATGATATATTTCAGCTTAACTGAACAAATACCTTATCAAGCTGTCTTTTTTCCCCTCTGCCAGATGCAAAGAAGTCTACTCCAGAGCAATTAAGTGTTCACGTACTGAAGGAAAAGAGCAGTCTTGATGTTCTCCTTTGTTACTCTACTAGACTCTCAAGCCTTACTGTTCACACACTCATTTCAGACAACCAGCAACTACAGCAAAGTATACTTGCCAGAGGAACACTGAGATACTAATTCAGAGATGCTGCTGAACATCTGTGGTTTCTGTTCAGTCTTTTGGATGCAAGAAAGCTAACAAACAGGAGGTATGAACTATCTGCCACAGACTGGTTAGAGCAGACAGGTTTGGGAAATATGCCTTAGCTACCAATAATGGACAGAGAAGCCATCATGTGTCCTATCTGCCTATTTCTCCTCGAGGTATTTGGGTATTTTGCCAATCCACTCAAAGCCAGAAGAAAAGGAAGATGAGCAAAAATGGAAGCGGAGAGATTAGTAAATGCTGCTCACTCACACCCCCACTTTATCAGCTTATAGCTTGACACACCTCCCTATTTTACTGAGCCCTGCTTTGCCTATTTGAAAGGGAAAACAGCCAACTGACTAGTCATTATCTTTATAGGTTCTAAGGAAAGTACCCTAAAGGCAATGCAGCAGCATTAAAGCATATACCAGTACACTAAAAGTGACATGCTAATCGCAAGCACCAGTGACAACAGAACATCATGACTTTGATCTTTCTTCATTCATAGACACTAAAACTTGTGCTTCTATATCAAATCACTTTTCTGTAACTAAAACAAGCCAAGTCAGGCACATTTTTTGAGTTACTACTCTTAATATTTATTTAGAGGGAATACTACACTGCTCTATGCAAAACAGCTGACATCAAACCTAGCAACCTCCATAAGAGCTTGAGATGGCACTTCTGTACAAGTCATTCACCTCAGGAAAGTGCCACGGAGTAGCTCATTGCAAGATTCTGTGTCTCGCCTAAACTCAATGCCAAACACCTCCTGAAGGAAGGACTGCCTTACAGAGACACAAAAAAGTACATGTTAAATATTAAGGATAATTTTTAATACAATCAGTGATTTTCATGCATATTTTAGAGATCTTTAAGTACTACAAACTTGATGTATATGTACCAACTCTTGCATGCATCTTTCAACAAATAAGAATCAGATTTACTAAGCACACCACTGTGTTTGTGATACTCTGCTTGGCTGAGCCAGCAGCAGTAATCAAAGGGCATACATACGATAAAAGTTGTCAAGGAGAACCTAAGGTATTTACATCTGAAAAAGACTGATTTCAGCATGATGTATAGCAAACAAGACGCTTCAGTGAGCAAGAATTTTCTTACTAACTTCACATTAGAAAGCAAAAGTTACTTATAACTATGTAGCTGTTAGCTTTTGCTATTATGTACTGGCTTTTGCAAATTATTATTAATGATTTTGATATAGTACAGTTTGCAATCTCTTTTAACTACTTTTGATATAGTACAATTTGTCAGCTTTTTGTGGCCAATGTCATGGCCCCTTTGTAGCTTGTATTCTCAGAATATCATTTATACAGGGTATTTCAGTTTGTAAATAGTGTGTTAAGCATATATTATAGTTTTAGCTTTTGCAAAATGTTAACTTTTACAGAAGTAGCTGCCATTGCGCAACAATAACTAATAGTTTTATTTTTGTAACTGACTGACAATATGAGAATAATTCAGATATATTAGTAAAATAGCTAATGTTGATTTAAAATACTTGTGGAAATAACTGAAACCATCTGCATATTCAGACACCATTTAAGGAATGGATGTGATAAGGACTCCTGCCATTGACCCTCCACTATCAATAACTGTCACCTGCTGAAACCATGGAACAGGAGAGGCCATTGTGAGAAGCAACACATTAATCTCAAAAAGACAATACACATTACTGCACATACACTAAAAAGCAGCTCAGGGGTTGAACCACGCTAAAGAATTCTCAGAACACGCAAATGAGTTCAAAGAAATGCTTGAATATGTATAATTTTTAGGAATATGTATTTGACTAATGCAATGGAAAAAGTATATAAAGAAGAGTTATGATTAACAGGTGTGCCTCTAGCTATGGCTATGCACCCAGCACTGTTTACTGTTCATTTTAACCCTTATTAAACCTTTAAAAAAATTTTAAAGAGGGAGCCTTGCTTCTCACAGAAACCTTACTGAAACTAACCATAACTCATGGGCACTTGACTCATTTAGACAATCAATCAATCTTAAATCCATTGGTTTCAATTCCTGATAAGGCAAGCATGTATTGTAATAATGTTGCTGCCACAGAACAACAAAAACTAATGACTTTTTATTCTCTCATGCCCCCACGTTATAACATAGTAGATGTACGTAAAGAGTTGGAAAGATCAGTTTTATTTTAAAAAGTACTGGAATATAATATGCAATGTTTGCCTAAAACATTCTCAGCCTCCAACCATAAAACCTATGGGTTTCCAGAAACACAGACTTTTTTGAGGTTAGTCTTCTAGAAGCTCCTGCAAGTGGTGTTTTGAACCCACTCAGAACCAAACCTACACATCCCAGTATTATAAGGAATTTACACAGCTTACTCCTTAATCGTCATGTGGGAAAAAATAAACTACTTCAAATGTTTCTTCTTTCAATTTTACTGTTAAGAAGGAAATGGAAACACTGATTGATCACCTAATTTCTGTACCACTTCCAAAGCACACTTTAGAAGCTTCCATCTTGCACCCCTCTCTTCAACACACACATGTGTATCCTATTTCAGATCCCTGATCTACTCAGGGATGCTCCATACCAAAACTATTTTATACTTTTAATTAGTAAAAAAATCATATGAAGAAATGAGAAGGGAGGAGACAACTAATCAGAAAACACAACATGAATATGAAGCACACAATGGATTTTTACACCATTCTCATTTTCAATGAAATAATATTAGATTTGTCTTTTTGACTGTAAAATCGAGAAGAAATCTTTAAAAATATTCAGATGCAAGCTCAAGTTTTACTACTATAGAGGAATAATAGATTCAATTCAGAATATATGATTTTACATGCAATGCTACAATGGTCCTGTTCTCATTCTTCCTTTGCATTTCTACCTGCCCATTTAATCTATGCAAATGAAAGTAGATCGCACTAGATGTACCACTAATAATTCTGTCAACTGATACAGAAATTCATCTCTGAGTTACAGCTTGATACACTTCTTCCAGCTTCCTGTAAAAAAAACTCCCTGCAATCCACCTCTCTCCTCTTAGTGGGCTATTAACTGAAAGGTTAATGCCCTTGGGCACTTGGCCTCTGTGTGGGCACATGACCCAAGATCATCACAAACCCTGAAAGATTTACTGGATCACTGCATCCAGGTCGTACACCTCCACAGAGCAATGTCCCACTTTAAACTATATTACCCTTCTTTGCCCACTTGCTAACTTTTTGTTTACAGCTTCCTGTGCACGCAAAAGCCCCACAATCAAGTACACACTCAAGTGAGCACTTCAAGGCAAGCTCTGGCCAAACAGGAGAGCCCTCCGGCATCACTCCATAGGGGAAACAGTAGCAACAGAAAAGGGGAACGTAACAGTAGCTGGAAATATAAACCTCAAAGCTGATTAGTTAAGAGATGACAAAAAAAAATCCGGCTTCCAATATAGAAGTTTGAGTTGTCAAAACACAGAGAAGAACACAAGGTAAGTTATCACTATGCCATTGTTCCCCCATTCTATTCTCATACACAAAAACCCAATTTTTTTCTTTAAGCATAATCTGACTTTTGTTTTTCAGCATCCCCAAAACCCAGAAAAACTATTTCATGACCATTTCAGTCAACATAACCAATCCAAATTTTCTCCACAGCCCTCTTTACACTTAAGAAGCATTTTTAGACTCATGAAGTTAAACTAAACACTTGGAGCTGGCTGGCACTGTCTCTGTGGGACACAGCAACTTCTCAAAGAAGCCTCCCCTGCATCCCCTGCCACATGTGACCAGTGTACTATTCTACTGCCTACCCATGCACATGCTCCTCTACCACCAACAACCATTCACATTTCATCAACGTTTTTCTGTGGCTACTGAAAAATACCATACATGCTACTGGAAAATGACAGGGAACACATGTCAGAAGAGGAAAGGAGCACACGGAACAGTAAGCGAAACTACACACATCTATATAGAAAACTACACAGAGAGAAGTTCTAACTAGACGGTATACAGAACTTCTGGAAAAAGAAGGCTTTGTAAAGGTAAGGTCACAGAAAGCTCAAGCAACTCAAATTATCCTGAACATACTTCTAACATTTCCAGTAGCACTCAAACACTGAGTTTATAGCACAATGACTAAAGCTTGACGTGTCAGAGGAGTTATTCCTGTTTCCACAGTATCTTGCTGCAATTGAACTAGGAGAGAAGTATTCAAGATGAAAAAATTATTAATAATGAGAAAAATTAATAGCTTGATTTTAATAGTCCTGCATATATTTATATGGATGTGCATATTTAATTTTTATTTGCTTTCATTCCAAAACTAAAACATTTCCTTTCCTATTATACATCCAATTTCTAAAGTTTATTTCAAATTCTTCCCTTCACTGAGATGCAATCATTTTAGAAACACAAATAAAAACCAATTGAAACTGAAAAAAAAAAGACAATCACGCATAAGCAGAAACAAACACATAATTAGGCATTTATCTATATATTAATAAAATAAGCTTTCACAAATCGGAAAAACAACCCCAGGGTCTAGAGACCCTGTTTAAAATCGATTACAATAAATTTATTCTAGGAGAAGCACAAAAACTACAGCAGCATTACCAAACTCGTTGCCCCAGGTTAACAAACATGTCATACACCCAAGTATACAAGGCTAGTCAGACTCACCTTCCCTCATTGATTTTGGCTTTGTCCCCATGGCAGGTAAAGTTCTCGATGTAGCCCAGGCTGCAGTTTATCCGTGTCCAGTCGGGCTGGCACACAGCAATGAAGTGAGGACGCAGTCTACCTATGGAGTACTTGGCAATGTCTGTCAACGACTGGCTAGCAGCTGCCCCAAAAATGAAGGTCCCAATGGCTTTGTAAATAGTGGCTATGTAGTTATTTCTGACAAACGAATTTGAGTGCAAATTATTATAAAAGACCGAGAGAGTCTCTCCTAGGATTATCTGAAAGAGAAATAAGGACAACAAGTTAAAGATAATTACTTCAAAAGAAAAGTATTATGCTATTCTTGTTAATACTCACACATACAGTTTCAGATTTTTTTTTTTTATAAACATTAAGCTGCAAATTTAAGTTTTCCAAGAGTCAGCAGTATCCATGTCCAAACTATAAACACTTTCACACGGAAGAGAAACACCTTTTTATATTACCTTACCTCATGTTGAACTTAATCATATTCTTTTCAGAACACTAATTAAAACAAAGCGTTCTTGGAATAACATTTAACCATATTACTTGGCATGGCCCTAATTAGAAACATTTTCTACTGTGTAACTTCATTTTACTTTGAATCTTCTTCAACTAACTTCTACTGAGTAAAATTTCTCAAAGCTTGTTAGATTTTTCATGAAACCAGAAACTGTTCTGAAGGGTTGAGACTTTATATCCAGATCAGAAAGGCCAGATGTTTCAGTAAAGAAATTTCCTATTTCTCATGCAAATTAAATCCTTTGGGGAGAAAAGAAAACTAGTATGAGTAGGTAAAGACAGGTCTTACTGAGTAGATGTGTGTACGTTTTTCACCCTACATATCCAAGGTGCATGTATCAAGTGTTGGCAAGAAAGCAGATCTAATAGTCTTTTCTTGCAATTTCATGTTTTGAAATTAAGATTTTTCCTTATGCCAAATTCAGAAGTTCACTCCAGATTATTTGGATACTGAACCAGATGGTCCCATTCTCTACAGAAAGGATCAATTCATATAGTTGATCAGATGTGTGGGGAGTTGGATATATATGTAATCTTGAAAAATCATGTAAAAACTAAAATTATGGCTCTGTCATTTGAGCGTGCCGAGTCCTGGATCCCAGCAAAGCAGTGCTTTGGTGAATGAAGCCATTACTTAGACACTGCCACCCAGGCACACAGAGTGACAGCATGTCAGAGGCTTTGTTCATGAAGCCAAACAGACAATACCGTTAGATGTGTGACACCCTCCACCTCAGCCAAACATGGACTGAAGCAGAGAAATACCAGAACATGGACTAAAGCTGAGAAAGCTTTCGGTAAAGTACATAGACACCTAATCCAGAAAGTAACCTCTTAAGGAAGATGGCTGAGCACAAATAGCCATGACAGGTAAATAGTGGGTCGCTTTCAAGTAACATTGCTGTAAAACTTGCAAGAAGGTCACTTATTTCAGGTAATAAAAAATTAGTTGATGTCAGTGCAATTACTACACTGGACAGACATAAAAAAATATTCATCTTCAATAATCTGACTAAGCAATGAGTAAAGGACAATATTTGCTTTTATCATCTGACTATGAAGCAATCTTGACAGAAAAGCCTGATTTCACAACTAAAAGATAGTCTCTGATGTTGCAAAAGAAACTTTATTAGATGAATATTCATGCAGACTCAAATGGAGACTGAATTAATTCATAAGTAACACATCAATTAAACTATATTCAGTGGACCCTTTTCTGACTCATGAAGTCCCTGAACTGCAAATGGCTGGTAGTCAAGTACTGTGGGCAATATATCAAGCTTTCCATGCTCTATTCTCTTCTTCCTCATTCAGCTGTTTTAACTGCTCTAGAAATGAGATAAGCTACATGGGCTTCAGTTGCAACCAAGCACTGATGCTCTCAGGCAATATTGACTACCCAATTGGTATTGCTATTACCCAACAGTAGTAAGAGGGTATTTTAAAAAAGCCTTATCTTAAAGGCAGGATCTCTAGCATAAACCACCTGCCAGTGGTTTATGCTACATACAAAAAACATATATGTTACATACAAACCGCCCCTCCACCAGAAACTTCATCTGCTTCAGAAGCATTTCTGTACATTTTTGAAGCAACTTTTCCAAGAAGAGGGAAACGAGGCAAGTCACAGCTTCACTTCTCAGAATATATTTCTTAACTTGCAAAAAAATTCCACCCAAGAGCAAATATGAGCTGCAAGTTACCTTTATGCTGGAACCCTGATAAAAATCCACGCAGTCTCTATGCAAGGCAGAGTTAGATTATCATAATATCTCTCCTGATTTAAACTCATCAGCCCAGAGAAACAGCTGGTCAATACTGAGGATTACATTTAGCTTGCCTTTTCATTTTTGGCTCCTCAATATACTGGGATAAATATTTATATGCCTAAAAATTTTACTTGGCATAAGAAAGTTTTAACTCTGTTCAAAGCATGGCTCTGTTGGATGCCACCCAACAGAACCATCAGTAGAGACTGAAGCTTTTTTAAGCACATCTAGACAGGGATCTTGAGGCCCCTGTTGAAAAGCCATTGTGGGAACTACAGTGAAGTCCCATCAGACTTAGGATGTTAAATAGTTAACTGAAGAGGTCCAACTGTCCCCTCTGCTCATGAGGACATGTCCCAGTTACTTTTTGCCCCCATACTGGTACTCTTCCAAGAGCCCTTTGCACTCCATGTAGTCAAGGAAAGCTGCTGTTTTCTGCCAGGCTAACTAATTTCACCAGCTGATCCTGGCTCAGACAAACCACAAGAGGTGGTAAAAGGCAGGGTAATAGCAGGACCTCAACTTTTGTCCATACATAAGGACATTACATATGTAAGCTATTAGGCTAGCTCAGCTGACAGCATACAATTAAATATTAGGGATAGAGAGTCACTATATGCTTGAGACAGTTCAGCTGAGCTAGGAGGTGTGGTCAGAGAGAGATCCCAAATTGGTATTCACAGAGAATCTGTCCAGCTTACCCATCTGGTGTGAAGAGGAGAAAAGAAGAAAAGTACCCTGGCTTCAGCCAGGTTAGATGCAGTATAAAAGCAACCCCCTGCAGTTATTTAAATACAAATGGGCCCAGAGTTTTATCCTGACCTTCAGGGAAATATCCAGGGAAAAACTCCACACCTACTTATCCTTTTTATTCTATTTATGCTTTTGATAACAGCTGAGTGGAGGCCACAATCTTGCTCTTAAATAGGCTAGTATCTGTTGTTACACTTCTACACAGAAGTATTCCCAAAGACTTTATGGCAGATAAAAAATGTTGACTTAATAGGTCATGTACACTGATATTCTGAAAACTGCAGGTCCTGAAATAAAAAGGCTTGTGACAGTCACAACATATTAGTGTTATTTTCAACAAATATGGTAAGAAGTTTTTATCTCTCAGATTATAGATTTAAGACACCATAATTCCAAGGTTCTAAGGTATTATTTTTCTGTTCTATATTCTAGCTGTTTGACTTGTTAAAGAAAACCTTTTAGTTATTCTTGCACCAGACCACCATTTCTATGGCTTTAGTACTGACCTAAGGAAATTATTCCAAGGTTGAGAAAGCTTACAAAACACAGTTTTATAAACCTGTATTAACAGATTACCCCTCCTCCCTCTTCCCCACCCCCACTGAAATCAAAAGCAATGAAGAAAAGTTTAACTTACAACAATTATACTGAAAGGAATAATTATTCCTGCTAACAATTTATAAGAAATGGTGTCCTCTTTGTATGGATACCGGATGGATTCATCACTACAGAAAACGCCTCTCTGGAAGGGGGTACGTCGTGAACTGAGAATTGCAAAAGGCAAGCCAGCTGGCAAAAAGGAATACAAAATACATTACAAAACCAAAACAAACTGGCGATGATCATACCCCCACATTTCCAAAGAGAAGTGCATAAATAGGAATAGGCATGCAGGAAGTTAGAAGATTATGCACTTCCCTTGGCCAATGACTACTGCCTTGACTTGGTAGCTTCCAGGAAGGATTGCTGAATGAAGGAGAGCAGGGCAGGATTCCTCTCACCTTCATGTTTGTGGTAGTTCAAGTGTGGAAGCATGCCGAAACCATGACTGAGTGTATAGTTCAGTGACAACCACTGAGGTGCTCAATCTGCTGCTACTGGCACAATTAATATAAAATATTCCTTGATGTTCCAGTGAGCAACAGTTGCCCATGTACACCTTCTCTGGACAGCTTTACAAGTCAGAAGAGCATAAACTGCATTTCATGAAAGCAGAAAAGGAGGTGCTTTTCAGGGAGCGCAAGTGCAGAGGGAGTTTTTGGGAATATGGAGAAAAGGAAATTACACATGCATGCAATGCCCTCACTTCCTCACACACTGGTATCTTCCTAGAAGAACATGATCACTGCACAAGCCCTACAGCCTCAAGGCATGGAGATTTTATTCCCACCCCTTCCACCAAAGAGGATGCCTTTGATTCAATCTAATACCTACAGGACACAATACTGAGGTGCACAATGCTGCATGCTATTGCGTGTCAAGGTACCCCAAACCCAAACCAAAACTAGTAATTTGAACAGCAAACGTTTTTAAAAAAAACCTCAAAATAGGATGCAAATTATGACAAACTAATAGGATCTCATTTCTAAATCCTGTTCCTCCATCTTTAACACACATACAACATCTCCACAATCTGTTTGTGTACCGGGATGAATACTCTTGGAAAAAAATGGTTGTATGGAAAACAAGCAGTGGAGGACTACAAAGAATATTTAACAAAACAATAAATAACCTTCTTTAGCTTAGGCATGTAGAGCCCAGTAGAGCAAAGGCCCCCTTAACATTATGCTCAAAATTCAGCTGTGTTGCACATAAAATGCATACCATTTTAAAGTTACACAACAAAATTATCTGGAGGAGACACTCCAATCTGACAGTAAGGGATCCGAAAGATTAAAAAAGTCTCCATCCTTCCTTCCTAGCAGAAAGAGATGTTGTTGTAGTCTCATTTTTCTCCTCAAGACCTCTGTGCCAAGGTATAGCCTACATCTTCCTTTCCAGGTATACAGCTAGCCCCAAATAAGCAAATGCAAATAAAACTAAAGATGCAAAGAGCAGGAGAAAAAATGAATATAAAAATATACTAACCAAGCATCAAGAGAACTATTAGGGAAAAGATCTAGGATCCTTTCCAATCCTCTTCCCTCTTTCCCTCCACCCATGAAGTCCTCCAAACTAAGCCTGACTCCTGAGACCATCATAAATGACACAAC